TTTTTTAGGTGGACTGCCAGCTGCCGATCTCACTGTTGACAGTAAAAGCAGATATGTTCCTTGCTCACTGCCATTAGTACTGGCCATGACCCTTCACACCAAAACCTCTGGAGTTACCCTGCTGCACCAGATTCAAGGCACTGAACTGGAGACACTGAGCAGACCTCAGCTGAAGATTCCCCTGGAAAGACCGCTCAGCGACATGTACGTGGAGACCAACAAGACAGGAGTTTTTAACTACCCAGAAGGAGCCACCTATGATTTTGGTACTACGGCTCCCGTGTACAGCTCTACTACGCTCAGTTATGCTTCTACTTCTGAATCTTTTGGGTCCAGCAGTCTGGCAGGATTTCACTCCCTGAACAGTGTCCCACCAAGCCCGGTGGTGTTCTTGCAAACGGCGCCCCAGCTCTCACCCTTCATCCATCATCACAGCCAACAGGTACCCTATTACCTTGAAAACGATCAGGGCAGCTTTGGGATGAGAGAAGCTGCTCCTCCAGCCTTCTACAGGTAAATGCTACAGATAATTTTTCTTTCTTATTTAAGCAGACGAACTGGGAAAATTAGAATGTGGAAATCTGTTATGCCCCAATATTTTCTTTTTGTGTAAAGGACCGTGTGATTTAATTGAATCATCCATGATATCTAGATCATAAGAAATGTAGAATGAAACAAAACTGTAATTCACAGCTGACTGTAAGCAGTAGATTTTGAAAACTGTGCATAAATGAGAAACAAATCAGATAATGAATATAAATGTTTCCTGGGGAAACATGAAATCATAATTGATTAAAGAATGGCAAACTACATCCCTGTTGTAATATATTAGAATACTGGCTGAAGTACACTAAAAAGACTTCCATCATCACACATTTCTGTGTATAAGTGGTTGTTTGTTCAGCTCTTAGGTGGTAGCAAGAATATTTTTCTCCCCTGTCTTCCTTTACAGTGTGAGAAGTGGCTTATGTAGGAAGTCATTCAGGAGCACAATATCCTTCCTAATCAAACTGTTAGAGTTGACTCAGTGACAGCATTTCAGTCAGTATCCATCTTCCCGAGCTATTCTAAGATCTATGTACATATTAACATGCATTTTTCATTAGAAGGTAATATATATTACCCATAAATCTGCTTGCTACTTTTCAAAAGATAAGACTGTTGCCGTGGGTTTTTTGTTGCTTTTTTTTTTTGTGGCTTTTTATTGGTATTTTTGTCCCTCAATAGAAGGTTGGGTTTTTTTGTTTTTTGTTCTGGAGGGCTTTCTTTTTGGTCTAGAATAGCAAATGAATGAATTTCCTTGATTTAAATATTTATTTTTGGTTGGGAACGCAATTACATTTTCTTTGAAGTAAGTGTTAGAAATTGATAGAACTATAGCTTCCAAAATAAATGTAGCCATACACACCAGTACCCACACTGTTAATGTTTTGTGCAGGGTTTAGAGCATAGTTTTGCACCAGGTTGTTATACTGGGCTTCTGTGAATTAAAGTGAACAGTTAGATGTAATTTTTTTCCTGAACTCTGTTCATTTGAGAGATACAGGTGAGTTTGCTAGAAATGAAATGACTCTGAACAAATAAAAGGAAGATATTTTTTCCATTTTAAGAGCCAGACTCTGCCAGACTTATTTGCTCAATATAACATGTTACTGTGAGTAGCAATGTATGTTCTTAAAGACAGTCTAAACTCAGCCTGATTAAGAATCTGGTAGTAGAATCTGGTCCAAAATGATGATGATTTCATTTTTTGCAAACAATTAATCAGTTTTGGGGAGCAGATGGAATAAAGACTGGTGAAATGGTAGATAATGGTTATGTCAAAGTGTCCAATACAATGATCTGTAACTGGTATCACCAGTGACTTGAGACTGAAACTGTACTTTGCACTAGATTAAAGGGCTTTTTTAACATGAATGTCCAGTGCAAACCATGGTGAAAACTGTGCAAGTGACCTTAGATATGTAAACAGTGGAGTAGTGAGTTTGTGAAGTTGAAACACACAGGCAGAAAATGTTCTATAGTCAGGTATTTTACTGCAGGAGGATTCAAACTCAAGAATAAAATGGAAATAGAAGTTGAACAATGGAAATAGTGTTCTTTTAATTTTTAAGCAGTGAATTGAGGGGAGACCCTTCAAAACAAAATGATGGTACTTTTTTTTTTGGGTTTAACGCCTGGAGCAAATGTGTAGTAACAGTGCTGGATTCCCCATTTCCTGACCTTTATGATCAAGGTTAGGTGTCACCCTTGGAAATGTGTATTAGCCATATGCAATTGCTGAGGCTTAATGCAGCAGTAATTGGGTGAATTTATGATCTTGGTTATGCCAGAAGGTTTATCTGCATACAGCATTATACAAATGATTTAATGGCCCCTTCCAGCGATAATTCTGTAAAGTGCATCTTATGTGGTAATAGGCAATGTGTTTCAAAGTGCTTGCTATGATTATCTTTTGTTAACAGGCATAGTCCTGTTGGAATTAAATTGCTGAAAACTTTGCTTTTTTTCTTTTCATTTTAGCGAGATAGTATTTACAAAGTTATCACCCTCACAACAAATATTAGGTCTTCATTCTCATGTTTTGGCACAAGTCCAATCACCAGTAGTCTATCAAAAATAATTTGAATAGAGTGCCTATATCTAGCCATGGGGTTTAAGAATAAGCTCTTTGAAAAACTTTTTATTTGCTTTATGTATTTGGCTAATCTAATCGGTTTCAATTGGGTTATGGGAGAAAAAAGCATAGGGCAGTGTAATCTAGCAATCAATAATTTGATGCTGGAGTTTGGAAGATGTCTACCTACCAAAATGGTGAGATTCTGGAACAACCTACCAGTAGGAATGGTAAAGGCAAAAATTCTCAAACCAAAAGCCCTAACAAAATTTAAAATGGATCATGATCAGTTTGTGATATGGCTGCCTGCTTCTGTAATAAGTCATGTAATGTAAGACCCAGAAAGACTCCTCTGCAATTCTCATTTACCTTTCTATGTAACAGAATAGTGCTCTTTGGCTTTTAAGGCAGAAATATTTACATTGCATCATCCTGTTATACTCTAAACTTGACATTCAAGTGCTGCATTCAGTGATACAAGTAGCTAGAACAATACATAAACATTGTAGGTTGGAGCTGAAATTATATTCTGTTAATAGTTGGATAAAATCTTAAAAATCTTCAGTCACAAAACTCAAAAAATGCTGTATATGAAAAGGAAAACTTTTTATGCAAGTTAATTTTGTTAATAAGAGTCCAAAATTGTACTGACTGTAGATAGATGTGTATTAATATGTGCATAGCTACATGTCTATTAATTATGAAGTTATAATCTATTTCTTTCAAGTAGTGTTTACAAAAGGCTTTGTCTCTTTGCAAGATAAGGACAGGCTTCTATATCTGGCTGAAGAACATAATGATACATAAAAAGAATGCTTTTGTAAAGAATGCAAGAAATACAGCAGTCTAATTTCTGGAGTCTTTAAATGATAAGGCATCAGAATTTGAGAAAAAAAGGGCTTAGTTAATTCAAACTGTGCTGTCTTTAACTTGACCCTTTTTCTGTCTGATCTTGTGACTGTTTTTTCATAGAGAGACAAACTAAAATACCTTTTCCTTTTATTACAATGTCAAATCTCACAAATATTTTATTTCCTTGATTATTTTTATTAGTGCCTTTTTAAATTATTAAATGCTGAGTAGTGGTTGGTTATTACTACAGGAAATCTTGTACTCATGACTATCACAGTAAATTAGCAGAAAGATTTCTTTTCTTCTTAGCTATTAAATTTGAGTTCTGGTAATTTCTGGTTATTTCTTCATGCTTTTTGGCAAGTTTTTATCCACTCAGGAAAAAAACAAGAAGCCTTTCAGTAGCTATTTTACCTGCAAGCAACACCAAAGATGAATCCTTTTTTTACTTTGCCAGTGTCTGACATTCCTATGTCATCCCACTGAGTTTACGCTTTTCAGATCTGAAGTAAAACCATGCATGTATTTAAGGCTCTTTGTAGCCTGCATTTGGTGCTGCTTCCAAATCTGGCCAAAAACATCTTGAAAAAATGGGCTGCATCTATCAGCTTGCTGATGAAGATGTTGTCAGTGCGTAGAGAGTGACAGAGGCTGGGAAAATCAGTGTACAAACAGAAATAACAGATGAATACCTCCCTCACTTTTAGTGGCTAGTTTGTGAGTATCTTCTAGTACCTCAGGCTTCACATTTAGATTACTACAATAAGGTATTTCTTTAGCATTAGTCACGATTATCATAGAATCAATCAGGTTGAAAGAGACCTCAGAGATCATTGAATCCAACCCTACCATTGTTACTAGACCATGGCACTAAGTGCCACATCCAGTCTCGTACTGAAATTGACTCTGACTCTGACTCTCCTACTGAAATTGACTCTGAATCATTTTAACCCTGTTGTTCCAATCAATATGATCATAGCTTTAAATTGAATGCTTGCTAAAATTGACAGAGATTACAAATGTAGATCAATCTCTCCTCTGTTGTGATTCATAAATCCACCAGTCCAAAAAATACTTACTTAACCTAATAAATATAAATTTTTAACATCATCTGATTCATTATGAAACTTTCTAGCTGTTCATGTTGAGTACTAAACAATTAAGATTTTTTTCAAATTTTAAAATTGAAATTGTTACAATGAATGCAAAGTTCAAAGATAATTTTTCTTTTTTTTTTTTTTTTTCAATATAGCATGAAGTATTCCTAAACATGGAGTACAATGTAATGTAGTATTTTGTTTGATTTTTTTGAGGGTATTTTTGTGAGTTGTTTTGTTTTGTTTCATTTTTCTCTAAAGCATCAATCTCTTCTGAGGTCCTCTCTTGAGCAGTTCAAATGTTCAGGCAGTTTCCCAAACACTTGGACTGTTCCTGTTTTCAGGGCTTGTGCTGGTATCTCTGACAATTTTACAGCAACAGATGACTATAATGAAAGAGACAAGAAAACATGGAAATGTTGTAAAGATAAGCCCATTAAATATTCTGAGATGCTCACACATTACAATTATGAGGGACTTGTACAAACCAACTTTGGTGTTTCTGCAGCCCTTCTTAGAAAATGTGCTGACGTGGATCCTGCTATAAGTGTGCCTGCACCATAAAGTCACCAACCCATATTGTTGAGGAGCACATGTGATCTGTGCCTCCTTGTGTCCCTGAATAAGAGCAGACAGTGCTGGAAAGGGGTAAAGGAGCTGTTATGCATCCTCATTATCCTTCTTTCTGACAAGGCAGAGAGATGGATCTCGCTTGTTCTCTCTTACTGAAGAAAACTTTCTTCACTTCTTTAGCAGTTACATTTTTTGCATAAACCACAGACCTAGGAAGTGCTCCATATTCCAAGTCCTTTCCATGTGGATTTGAAATTTCTGGCTAAGAACAAGGTTGTTCAGACAAACCATGTGAATGGGGTTCGTCTGATTAAATGTAGGTAGAAACCTAGGTAGACACCTACATCTGTATTCATTTTCCCATTCCTTAGGCA